ATACAGCGATAATTAACACGCAAACAATCCTAGTCTGGCTGAATTGGATTTCTCTATCCGTGAATTATGATTTTTGCTGTGTCTTTAAAACCCAGTAATTTTAAAAGTTACTCCAAAATTCGCTTGAGGATGAAATGGAACTAACGTCTTTAATTTAATTACAAAATTAAATCCGAAGCTTTCAGCTTCCATTTTTTAAACAATGTTAGAACTGTGTAGCGAAAAAAACATTTTAAATCAATTAATTTGTAATATTAATGCTCTGTAAATTTACATTAAGCACTATTTTGTAAAAATAAAACATATCTATAAGAACACCAGAGTATATATCTTACTGTTCTTTCTTTATATTTATATATATATATATATATATATATATATATATATATATATATATATATATATATATATATATATGTTTAACGATTCAATCAAAAAGTCAGATAACCGATATAACTAAATGTCATGCTTCTTTCTGATTTGCATTAAAAGTCGAAAAAATATTGGTAAAGTTTTATTTGCTTTTGGGCTGTACACTTTTTCTCTCTTTTTCTTTTAAATCTATTTCCAATTGTTTTATTTCTATCCTTGATTTTTCTTTCTTTACTGATTTCTTTCCTTGTTTTCAGTTTTTCAATTCTTTCTTTCCTAACTCATTGTCATTTTCATTTTAAATCGGCTGATCTTCGATGAAATAACATTACTCACATAGTTTTATCATCACTTTTTTCCCCCCAATTCTCTCTTACTCGTCCTTCGCTAACCTACATGACCTCAGTCCATAACATTAGAATATATTTACCAATTTCTTCAACTCTTGGGATAATGGATTCTTTGCAAAGCATGAATAAAATACACGTGGAAACAACACACAACTCATTTTCACATAATCAAATTTAAATAAAGTAACTACCTTTTGATGGTGTAATCAAAATGTTTCCGAACAATTTGAATGTGAATGGAAATTTGATTACATTTTTTATTAATATAAAACTATCTAAAATACAAAAAACAATTGATATATCAGCTCAGTCATCAAGCCGTCTATTTTTGTGAACAACATTCGATCAGAATGAGCTACGATCATTATTTATTAAACAAAATCGATGTTGAAGGCCAGACGCAGTCTCAACAAACAAAATTAAGAACTGTAAGCTACTGATCAATACTGATTGATTAATACTGACCAAGCCTAAAGACATCGTATATTTGACCAATTTAGGATCAAAAACCGTATGAATAAACAAATAAACCACACACCAAACGCTCACACATAGATGTATAAAATTGTAATGCTTAAATTTTGGTATATTTATTTATATCCAGGATAGAGCATTCATATATATATATATATATATATATATATATATATATATATATATATATATATATATAATAGTCGGCCTTGTGCTACATCTAAGCTGCGCTTGGAAAATCACTATATATATATATATATATATATATATATATATATATATGTGTGTGTGTGTGTGTGTGTGTGTGTGTGTGTGTGTGAAAAGTGTGTGTATATAAATATAAATATATATATATATATATATATATATATAATTAATATAATTATTTATATATTATATGCGGGTACTTATTAGAAAGCGCTCAATATCCGAGATAGAGCTAACATATTTGGTTGATAGATGTGAGTTTGTGACCCTGGGTTTCACGCTTTAGCGATCGTCAGACAAACTGATTAATGTTTTAAAAAATTTGGGTTTATGTAGATTGCGTGTATTGGTGTTATTGTGGAAGTGGTGGGGGAAATTTCGTCGTTTTGTCATTCATCGTACTAACGCAAACATCGATATATGCAGACACATATACATACTTGGTCGTCGGTCGGGACTCATACATATATAAACATATGTGGGCAGTTTCCGATATGACATATGTATGTATACGGGTGGTGTTGTGTCTATACATACGCATTTGTATGTTGAAATTCAAAGATTGGGATTGTAGCGAAAATTTCGTGAATGTCTCGTGAATGTATACATGTCATATTTTATTTTTCCGCTGAATGATATTTCCTCGCATGTATACGTGTGGTGGGGTTTGTGTAAAATTATGATAGGTAAAAATATTTATTATTTATATTTATTTTTAAATTTTTGAAAAAAATGGGGGTTATTTGTTATATTTAAAGCTGGTTATATGTTTGATTTTGACCGTGTACAAATTTCTAACTGTCACATGTACACGGTCATCAAAATCAAATACGATGACACAACGAGGACATTTCCCCCACCACTTCCATAATAACACCAATACACGCAATCTACATAAACCCAAATTTTTTAAAACATTAATCAGTTTGTCTGACGATCGCTAAAGCGTGAAACCCAGGGTCACAAACTCACATCTATCCAACCAAATATATATATATATATATATATATATATATATATATATATATGATAGAATGGAATATGCATACACCTGTGTTCCCACTCATTGGAGTGTGATTGGCTGGTGTCCGTCATAA